ATGTTACAAAAAACTTCACCTCAGTGTCAACTAGCGACATCTGGTGAGTGGAACGTTATTAGCCTTCATTGTTGCATTCGCTTTCCGGGTTGCCCTATGATTCGGCCCAAAAACGCGCCACGGAAAACAAATAATATTCTGTGGACACATCTATGAAAACACTATAATGAGTGGTTGTTTTTCCCACCACACCGCATATATTATTGATTGCTTGATTGATTAAGAAGTTCTGAACCCGCCTTTGTGGAGTACCTCAAATATTTGCCAAGCTTTTTAATTTCCAGATTCGGTTAAAGGTTTTGTTTTTGGATGCCTTAAGCGCGAAGCGCGCAGCTATGTTCTACTAGGTCCTAAAAAATAAGATTCCAACGTTTTGTCGCATGAGAAATCATATTATACATATAAATTGTCAGAACTGAATGATGACTGCTGCTGGAACTCCTCGACGAGAAATAGATGTGCCGAGTTTGAGCTCACTTTGTTAGTTAAGATGAGACCTTACCTCCGGACTTTCTAGAGTGACTTAAAAGTGTACTTTGATGACTGCTACTGGAACTCCTCGACGAAGAGAACTAGATGTGCCGAGTTTGGCCTCGTTTAGTTAGTTATAGAATATAATAGATATATAGAATATACCTTGACCGGACTAGACGGACTGACTTCAAGGTGTACTTCATTGACTACTACTGGAACTCATTGACGAATAGAACTACAATTTACATTTTTTTTTCATTATTATTGGGCATTGTGAGTAGTGCAGTTTTGGATTTTTTATACTTTTTTTAAATTGAAGTTTGAAAAACTCACTGTATTGATCACTATGCATACATACACACCTTATGCAGCTAAAATTTTTACCTGGTCAAAATTATTACGGCGAAGGACAAAATTAGGGTTAATATATAATTGTTGTTAATATAAATCAGGATTAAGCTCGATGTACGCGTGGGAAGTGCGAAAGACGAAGATTTGACCACTTTAACTGCAGTATCGAAGTCAGAATGTGCTGGTTACTAGCCATGCCGTCACCTTAGTAGATTCAACGATACCATGCGGATAACAACGGAGATTAAGATTGGGTTGTGAGGTGTACGTTTCCCATCATTACATCGATGTCATACGTCCACGACTTTTTCTGCCTCCAGGGCGGTGCCACTAAGGATTGACGTAAAATATTTAACAGATTTCATTGTGGGGGGAAGTTAATTGTTAGAAAAGTATAGAGATTAATGTTTATTTCTGAAATATTGGTCATATTTTATATTAATAATATTAGAAACTAGCTGTTCCCCGCGACTACGCCCGCGCGTAATATATTACTTATTTAATGGGTTTTAATTTTTTGGACGGAACCCTAATTATTTTTCTAAAATAAAAGTAGTCTAAGTTACTTCTTATAACATCAGCTATCTGCCAGTGAAAGTCCGGTCAAAATCGGTCTAACCGTTTCGGAGATTAGCCGGAACAAACAGACAGACAGACAAGGAAGAATTTTAAAAATCGTGTTTTTGTTATAAGTACCATATACACTTTCATATGCATATAGTAAAAAGCTATTATTTCAACATGAAAAACAGACACTTCAATTTTATTTATTTGTATAGATAGATATACTAAAATACGGACATTTGTAATAGTAGAATTTAAAAAAATTAAAAATGTCTGAAAGCTTTAAGAATACAGCACTGAGGCATTGTTTTGATTATGAACACACACTGGAAACTGAAAAACTTATAATTATCTACACACTAACTTTTTAATTATAAGTCTCTGTGTTACCCTTTCCGTGTTAAATAAAATCACCTCAGTCCCAACAAGCGACATCTGGTGAGTGTATGTTTATTAACCCTTATTGATATAGTGTGCAGAGTCGTAGTCAATAATGTGCTCAGTCCTCGTTAAACATACCATTTGCGCAAAAACCACCTGGACTGATCATACGGATGGCAAAAAGCCGAATGATCTCACTCTAGAACCCTAGAAGAAAATCCGTAGTCTTGTGTGGGACGTGACATTTGTGAGAAAGTTTGGTGAGGTTAAATCGGAGTCAGAAGGTTGGGTTTTTAACTGTGGCAAGGCATGTAATCTTTGTCCTCAGGGATCACATCAGGCGTTTACCACAGGTGGACTGTGTGCTCGTTTTTTACTATAACAAAAAAAGATTAGTGATAATGTACCGAACGATATCTTAAATAGGGTCAAACAAACTGTTATAAAATATAACCAAAAAAATGAAATCATGTAATTGTTCAATAGCACGACCTTATTCAATTTAAAAAAAACCATAGCAAAGGTTTTTTTTTGTTAGTTAAGATGAGATCTTACCTCCGGACTTGATAGAGTGACTTAAAAGTGTACTTTGATGACTGCTACTGGAACTCCTCGACGAGGAGAACTAGATGTGCCGATTTTGGCCTCGTTTAGTTAGTTGAAAGGCCGGAAACGCATCTGCGATTCCCCTGGTGTTGCAGTTGTTCATGGGCGGCGGTAGTCACTTACCATCAGGTGAGCCGCATGCTCGTTTGCCCCCTCTCCTATAATAAAAAAAAAAGTTATAGAATATAATAGATATATAGAATAGACCTTGACCGGACTAGACGGACGGACTTCAAGGTGTACTTCATTGACTACTACTGGAACTCATTGACGAATAGAACTACAATTTACATTTTTTTTTTCATTATCATTGGGCATTGTGAGTAGTGCAGTTTTGGATTTTTCATACTTTTTTTTAATTGAAGTTTGAAAAACTCACTGTATTTATCACTATGCATACATACGCACCTTATGCAGCTAAAATTTTTACCTGGTCAAAATTATTACGACGAAGGACAAAATTACGCACGACCTTATTCAATTTAAAAAAAAACCTGTGCCAACTTTTACCACCCGCCTAATTCATAGAAAGTGAAAGAAAAAACATCACAATAAATGTACATAGATAATCAATTTTTACGGCCACGGATTGTATCTAGCATATAATTGATTAACACGCGATGTTTACTCGTAGATCATTGAAAATTGGTGGTTCTTACGTCCGTTTCCTCATTTATGTTTGTCAACTATGTATGTTTTATTTTATTGTATAAAGGTGATAAACGAGTACACAATCCACCTGATGGTAAGTGATTGCTGCGGCCCACAGACATCTACATTTATCCTCTATTACAAATCAAAATGCAGATGCATTGTCAGCCGTGTGGACTAAGATGGAATGCCTCATTTCTAGTAAAAAGAGTCTCCGGTTGTCTACACTCACCATACGAAACATAGCTACGTTAAGCTGCTATTTTACGCTGGTATTCTGTGAGAGCGTGGTCCATCCCCGGTACGGGCCGACCCATTCGTGCTACAACTATACTACTAATATAGCTGCAGAATGGCTCTACCACGTATAAATGTATATGCATGCGGAATTTACTTTTATGTAATTGTAGCTCTAAGAAATTGTACTAATTTGATGTGTTAGTGTTGGCATTTATTGGTAAACCGAATAAAAAGAAAAAAAAACTATAGATAAAGTGAATCGAAACGTACAGTGAACACTATATATATATATTATATATTCCACTACTTACCACGGGTCTTCTATGATTCTTATTTTTTTTATAGAATAAGTATGACAAACGAACACACTATCCACCTGATGGTAAGTGGATACTATAGTCCATAGACATCTACATCTATACACGATTAAGAATTCAAATACAGATGCGTTGTCACCTCTGATGACTAAGATGGTATGCTTCATTTCCAGTAAAAAGGGTCTCCGGATCTCTACACTCACATACGAAACACAACAACATAAAGCTGCTATTCGCTGGTGGTCTATGGGATCGTGGTTCTTCCCCGGTTCAGCCAAAACACAACAACCATAATGTAGCATAATGTAGCAGCATGGCTCTACCACGTAAAAATTTTATGAAGCAATAACCCCACCTAGCTGATACAGAGCGTGTTAGCAGACTTCACATCATGTTCTCTGAATATTTTGATCCTCAACATGAAATGCAGGTTTCCTCACGATGTTTTCCTTCACTGAGTAATGAATTTGCACTTAAAAATTCAATTAACAGTTTCATTGGTGCCGGCGGGTATCGAGCCCAAGATGCTGTCATTCTGAGAACTTAATGATATTTCAGATTTTATTTTAAACAGACAGGTCATAGATAGGCAACGTCATCAAGTTGCGAGACGTCTGGTACCCCCCCCCCCCCCAGCGTATAAATTAAGACAAATCCTCTCTGCAACGGAAGAGGCCTAGTAGTCTAGTGGTTTTTAAAATTATTATAAAACTTTTTTACAGTCTTTATAACATTAGAATAGAATAGAATAGAATACGATGAATTTATTTGCAACAATACAATTTGGCATGAGATGGTGTTACAATTATGTTAGCCTAGTATTATGTATAGACTCTGCAGCAGACATGCAAATTTTAAACAATATGTAGGTACTTAACTAATCTAAAATTATATTAATTCTAAATTTATGTATGTATGTATTTATGTATGTATGTATAAATATAATGAGATTTTATCATCCAGTTTTCATCTACTTCCAGACATCTGAATAATCCGAAATTTTGCAGACGTATTAAGAACCGATGACTATGAAATAATTTCACTACTGACTTGACTGTGACTAAATATTCTCACTTATTACTATTAATACCCGTTTATTGCATTAAAAATGAAACTGTTCACGTCTTCATAAACAAAGGACAAACCCTTTTTGTGTCTAATGAATTCCACCCTAAAATAACGAGCACAACCAAACAAATTAGTAAACCATGTCCGTCACGAAAAGAAGGCCATGCAGTTAAGCGCACCCATACGGCAGAAGCTTGTCTCGAATAGGCGTCAAAAGAAAGTAGGCGTTATATAAAACAGATTCCATCTACATACTCCGGTCAGTGCAACCTTGGCCGCGAGAAAGCTAGCGTCTTTGTCGTGAAAAAAAAATCACGAAAAAGGGCGCGAACTTTGACAGATGCAACAATGTTAAAGAAAAACTGCCTAATATTTTTGCTATTTTTTTCAACCGTTCACAGTGCTACGTTATTTGAAAGTTCGTATGAATATGTATTAAATTTGGGGAAAAATGTAGCGCCAAGTGTTATGTCGATTTTCGACTGCTTCAGCGAGGACGATGCGTGGAACTGTGCAAAGGAGAAAGCGGGTAAAATATTGGATAGTTGGGGCGAGGAAGTGGACAAACAGCGTCGAAAATGGCAGGGTGAGTTACATTATCATCTTTTTATGTAGAAATACAATTTTGCATACATCTTCGTTAATTAAGGTGTTAAAAAAATATTTTCAGTTAAGCACTTCACATCAAGGGCGGGACTTAACATTTTAAGGTTGTAATACGTGGGTACTTGTGGGGTGGTGGGGTAGCTTGGCATTGCTAAACATTTATTTATGTTGACGACATTGATAATGGTGATAATCTTTATATATAAAAATTACGTGTCACGTTGTTTGGCCGCGATGTACTCCTAAACTACTGAACTGATTTCAATGAAATTTTGCACTCTGTGTGCAGTTTGATCCAACTTGAGAGATAGGATGGTTTTTATCCCGATAAGTGATCCTGCGAATTTAAGTATTTTTATAGTACAGAGGTTCGCCGCTAATGGTTTTTGCCTGGCCAGCTAATGATATATAAATCTTGTTTTTAAATAGTGTTAGAGTTAATTAGCCCATTAATAACTCACATGTGAAAATACTTTGACACATCGTTTCTTATAAAATTAAAAGGATTTTTTAAATAAATCGCACTCTCATGGGTATCCACTAAATTTAAGATGATAACACATTCATCTTCAGATGCTTTTGAATACCCATATACAAGCATATACCTAAATAACTAGAACGTTGTCGAAATAGTTGTATTAAAAAATTCATCCCCTTTTATCCGCGTCTTAGGGGTGAATTTTTTATATGGAGCCACTCCTGAGGTATAACCTATTTAATAAAAAAGAATAATTAAAATCGGTTCATAACTTACCAAGATATCATGTAAGATACGTACAAAAACATACGACTTTTATGAATGACCTAGCGGTCATTAATCACGGTCTATAATAGAGTCCCAAGTTGGTCGGGATATAGGTGCCATGTTACGTGAGATAACAAAATAGAATGTGCCTAATTTGTTACTTGCCTAACTTATCGTAAAAAACGACTAATTGGATATTGGGTTTGTGATTGTGTAGGCGATAAACTAGTCACAAAACACTTCTTTAATCATTTTACATATAAACCCATTTTTTTTTTGCTAAATGTACTCCGAGTAGCTCGACACTCTTTGTACTCTGCCATGTGTGTTTGTGTGTATGTATGTATGTATGTAACAGTTCCTATTCACCATCATGAAACATTCACATGCAAGTGTCCATACTATTTCCATTTATAATCGCTGTCAGATGAATCTCGCGTTTATTGTAGACTTGCGTGTACAATATCTTGCAATAAAAACTGGTATAACACGGCTGCACCATTTAAACAACCGCACGGTGTTAAATAAGCGCGCAGTTAACTATAAACCGCTGTTGGCCTTAACCGTGACTGTTACATTAACAGTACCGTATCTCTGGCGCGTCAGATTTTACTTGAAATGATGAAATTGAATTATTCAACTTATTTTTGTATGTTATACATGATAGAGCCATGGTTGTAGCACGAATGGGTCGGTTCAACCGGAGAAGGACCACGCTCTCACAGAATACCACAGTAAAATCAGCTTTTTACTGCAAACCAGACATTCCATCTTAGTCCTTAAGGTCCTATGGGCCATAGCATCCACTTACCATCAGTTGGACAATGTGATCGCTTGTCACCCTTATTAGATATATAAAAACAATCACAGTTGCAAATAATGATTTCTTATATTTACGTGAACACTACACATTTAAATAAAACTAATTTTACGGATTTTATCGCGTATATTAACTTATTTTATATTCCCGACGTTTCGAGTACTTTACAGCACCCATGGTCACGAGGGGGACTGAGATGTTGACGTCCCGAAAATATATTAATCGGATTGGAACAAAAATTAATAGTTTTTAATCTGGAGGTAGCCGTGGTTAACCATGACATTTGGAATAAGTTAATATACGCGATAAAATCCGTGTAAAACTAGTTTTATTTACACAGTTGTAAATTTTACACGACTGCGGTGGAGCCTGAAAGGACAGTAATATTATGTCCATTCAATATCCACCTGAAAGTCCTGAGCTTGTCGTCGGATTTTTGACATATAATATCTCAATGTAACCGTCTCAATATATCCTAACAGTGTAGTGGCCGTGTAAGAATATCCACTACCCCATAACCCATTATCTCTGTTGCTTGTTACAAAACTCATCTTAAGTCGCCACTTCGCGGCCATAATTAAAATGTCATAAGTATATAGTAATTACTAAGACTCATATTTAAGGCACTCATTGAATTCCAAAGACGTATTGACATTTCAAATGAGTTCAACATTAATTTGGAGTAACTAAAACAGAATCAACTAGAATCATCAACGTTTCCTACAGGGATGCAAGGGAATGGCATGAATAAAAATAGTTAAAATTAAAAAAGTTTTTAGTCTTTCCTTCCCAACCAGAATAGGAAAACTAAACAGTTAATATAGAGAAGTATCTTTTTTATAGAATATATAAAAACTAGATGTGCATGGCATGCGTTGCAATGCATTTTTTGTTAGAAACATTCGCAGGTGAGCGCACAACTCATCAAAGTTTCATTGTAATCGGATGAATGATTTCGGAACGCATTCGAAAGATGCCGTGCCATTTAAGTGCGCAAAATTCATGTGTGCCTATGTTGCCTTTAAGATTGGTAAAATAAAATAAACATAAACCCATGCTTTTTCTATACAAAGCGCTTTAACCATTAAGTGATACCATTTTGATCACGTTCATGGCGGTATCTTCTAAGATTCCTTTGTCATCCCGCACGAGAAAGTATTACAAAAAAAGTGATTTATAAAAATAGGCACTTAAGAGTTGTTTCAAATTTTGGCGGGAACTTATGCAATCGCTGACGGATATTTGCTCCTGCAATATCGTTATGGTTTGAAGTGGATTCTGATACGTAAAAGTGGTTCAATTTTGTGTATTAAATGTCGATGGTCTCAATGTTATCTTCTAAGGCTAAGGCTTAGGACTACTATCGTCATCAAATGTCCGCTGCGTTAAAATCTAAACACTTCGCAATGTGATGCATGAAGGAATTAGTGATCAAATTAGGCTGTATAGTCTAAATCTTTGCCGTCTTAATTGGCAAATAGTAACACCAACAAAATTAGCGTGGAGTTTTGACTTTTTTTTTAAATTGAATGCTCTAAATTGTCAGAAGTAAAATTTCTCTTTACTTGGCACCTCACATATATCACAATAATCCAATAAACAATGTCTAACATCCATTTTTCACTGATAGTATTTATCAGTATTGTTGGATACTATCTACTTTCTTCTATAAAGGAATTAACATAAAAGCGCGCATTGCAAAATCTTTGTACTTTCACCCGAGAAATTCTCGAGCAGGTTTCCTTTCGGGTGGCCGAGCAAACCTGATCGGAGAATTAATCGCGACCTAGTTTTATCGACGTTGTCAGAAGTAACGTCATTAAAAATTTCACCAATTTACACCGAAAATATTTTATTATTTTATTTTAATTTATATATTAATATTTTATATTGACGACTGGATAGCCAAATCCTGGATAAAAAAGTAAAGTTAAATCCTGTACGTGGTAAAACCATACAGCTATATTATAGTTGTTTAGCACGAATGGGTCGGCTATACCGTGGAAGGACCACGCTCTCACATAATATAAAATAACAGGTCAATGCTGCTGTTTTGTATAGTGATCTGTAGTGTTGTTTGTTAAAAATTGGTTGCATGAGCCCATGGGCTGGTAGACATTTACTAACAGGTGGACAATAAATTCGATTGTCTTTTCATTATTTTTTTGGTTTAAAATTTCAAAAAGAATTCTAGCAGATTAATGTCCTCCAGACCGAAGTTCAGTCACGGCGGGTGTCTCAACGGAGACTAGCCATCTGCGAAGGACAGGATTATAGTGCTCGTGCTCTAGTTATGCGCAAGCGTAAGTGCACTCTCTATTCCCTCACTCTCATAGTCCGATGGGACAGATTCCAAACCAACGAATTTACATGCTTTCCGAGACATAGGGGTGAAACAACGCAAACTTCTGACTCTTGGATGGCTACTGACTCGACCCGTGATTCAAACCCGGGATCTCATGATCGTTAGTCATGCTTACGTCTACTAAGCTAACGAGGCCGTCACAGCTACACTCTAGCAGTATATTGGTCTAATAGTCTGTACTTTTTTAAACTTTTTACAAGCAAAACGTCTGAGACACTTTAAAAAGAAAAATAGCTATTAGTTGTTTTAGCGGATATATACTACGAGAGATAAAGGAGACAGTTCAAGTGCACGAAAAATTGATTTTCGCATAACTGGGTGTACTGGTTCTAAAACCTTATTTCTCTTACCAACATTTAGAGACCCTACGATTGTCTAGTATGAGCCTGTATGAAGAATCGTTTGTCCGCGGCAATGAGAATAGAACGTGGTCTCACTGGTGTTTCCCATGTCCAAAATCTAGTTTAAATATTGGCACTTCTGTTTTATACGTCTGCTCTGTGGGTGTATTAGAGGTGATATTTTTACGTGGTAGAGTCATGCTGTAGTTATATCATGGTTGTAGCACGAATGGATTGCGAAAATGCTCTAACAAAATACCAGAATAAAATAGCAGCTTAATGTTGGTGTGTTTCTTATGGTAGATGTAGAAACCCGGAGACCCTTTCTTTATAATCTTCAAAATATAAAGGATGATATAATGGATGGATCTTTAAAATAAAATGGAATCGAGACATTCCATCTAAGTCCTCAGTGGACTCCATCTTAGCCGTCAGCGTTAACAACGCATCTGCATTTTCGTATTCTTTGTTAATCTAGGATAAATTCGTGACATTCTTAATCGAGTATAGATGTGCTCACTTGTCGCTATTATTCTATAAAAAATATATCTCTTTGGACCACTGTTGTACTTTTTCAAAGTCATCTCTTTTTTCGATTAACTTCTCATTCGAATGTTGTTGTTTTAGTTCAGATGTTTAAAAGCGTTGAATTCTTTTGAAAGTGTTGAATAGTTTACACAATTTAGTATATGATATAGATACCTAATCA